GTGCTTACATACGGGCTCCTCCTGGCTGTGTGCCCTTCCCCTCTCTGAGTCTCAGCTTCCCAGTCTGTTATACGGAGATAATTGTATTCATCTCGGGCTTCTGATGATCACGCCAAACCCGTGTTCCACTGCCTGGCACACAGCGAGGACTCCCTACCTGGGGATGCCTTCCCCCAGTGGACCACCCATCCCACCACTGCATCCCCCTTCACCACCCGGGCTCTCTGGGGAAGCTGCTGATTAAGAAATCAGGGGCAGAGGCCAAGAAACCCGGGAGCAGTGACCTCCCATTGATTTCCTCCCCAGCAGGAGCAAACCGGCCAGAGGCCCTGCTAGGCTTACGAGGCTAAGTGGTGCTGCCCAACCCCAGAGGCAGGGCCGGGACAGGAAGGTCGGGGCCTCCCTTCTCCCAGAGCTCAGGACGTTGCAGGCAACCATGACTGCAGGGCTGCTCATCAGGGAGTCACACCAGGTCCAGGAGCAGGGACGAAGGAAAGGGGGCAACTGCCCAGGCCCAGGCTGGGAAATGAGAGGACAGGAAGGGAGGGAAACCAGCCGTGCAGGTGAGCCATCTCCTGGGGCCTGACTGCTCCAGGGGTGCCCTCTGTGGGATCTCTGGTCAGGCCCAGGTGGCCTTGCGGGCAGGTGGGCTGGAAGAGGCAAGCAGCTCATCCCCCTGTGCTCCCTGAGTACAGACTGGGACGGAGGTGGTCACCAAAGACGCACACGTGGGTGGTGAGAAGGGCCTTGCATAAGGCGACTCTTGTTGACAGCCCAGTTAGGAGCCAGGGAAGCGTGACGCCCACTGAATCACTGACGGCCCAGGAGCTGCTGAGCTGGCCGTCCCGCGGGAAGGTCTCTCAGCCCCCTCAGGAAGACTCAGCCCAGCGGCCTGAGCCTTTTCAGAGCTGTATGTTCTTGTACTCGAGGGCAATTTCCATGCAGCCACCAGCCCCAGCAGCCTTCCTTCCACATTGGCTAGTCTCCCGGGGGCACAGCCATGCCCTGTGCGCCAAGCCCCGCTGGTCTGGAGGGAATGCCTGAATGAGATAGATAAGTGGAAATTTAATTTTTTATTTTGGCCATCCATTCGGCTAATAGTTTTGCCCTGGGCACATCTGGAGAGGGAAATGAAGAGCAAGGCGGGAGAGGGCGTGCGGCACGGTGCGTGCCAGACACACACGTGTGCAGGGCACGCATGCACAGGGCCGCTGCATCGCCTCACAGACACACTTTTGCACAGGCTTCTCGGAGTCCTGTATCCCAGAGGACATGGCCTTTGAGTTGTTCTGACAAGGATGAGTCAGGGGCAGTGATGGATGGTGCAGGTTCCCAAGCGAGGGAGGCAGCGGGGAGGGGTGAGTGGAGCCGAGTTAGCAGGGACCGAAGGAGCAGGACTTCCTCTCTCTTGGCCATGGGAGCCTCTGAAGGGTTCTCAGCAGAGAAGCAGTGTGGCCAGGAGGGTGGTTTAGACTGAGTACCTGGGAGGCTGGATGGATGGCACTGGGGGCCCGTTAGGGGCTGTATGTACGATGAGGGTTTTCCTAGAGGCAAACAACAGGCCTAGGCTGTGGCCGTGCCGCTGAGTGAGAGAGCGGAGGAGACAGGCTCACCGGAATCTGCGTGTACACTTCCATGGGGTCTGGGGCCCTCAGAGAAGCCCACTCCCAGGAGCAGTTTCATGGGGTTGGCCCCCAAGTCACAAAACAAGCCCATGGGCTCCCCTCCCTTCTCCCTCCCGGGGCAATGCAGAGAGTCGGGGGTGGGGGCGCCGCGAGGGTATGGCCTTGACCAGACCAGAGAGGCCAAGTGAGGCTGCACTGTCCCTGGGGCGGGGGCTTTCTGCAGAAGAGTGTACAGGGCACTCCGGGAGCGGGGCAGGGAGGCCGCGGCGCTGCGGGGTGTCTGTCCCAGTTTCCCTTTCCAGCGAAGTGCTGTTGTGGGTGCAGGCCAGGGGGGCTGCCTGTTAGGCCGGTTCTTCAGCCCAAGGGTTAGTGGGACTCCGAGGTCCTTCCGGGAGGAGGCGTGTGAGCCTGCGAGTGTGCGTGCCTGGGCACACACACGTGCCCGGGCGTGTGAGCCTGTGAGTGTGGGTGTGTGCCTCTGAGTGTGTAAACGTGCACCGACAAGCAGGCAAGTGACTGTCTGCGTGCTGAGCGTGCAGGAGGGGGCCCGCGGCGGCGCGCCGGGCAGACGTGCCTGCTCCAGGCCGTCAGGGAGCCTGTGAGGAGGCAGCTGCGTCGGCACCCCTGGGAGGTCTCGGTTCTCCCCCAGCCTGCGGAGGCCCTGCCTGCTGGTCCGCCGTGATGCACAGCTGCTGCAGCTGCAGGAGGGGAAGAAGGGCTTCCCAGAGCTTGACCTCAGGCCTTCCCGGGTCCCTGGGCCGGCAGCACCGCGCTCTGGGAGCTGTAGCTCCCCCAGCCTCCGGGCCTAGTGTTCTGGTGCCGGAGCCTCGCCTGCCTGCCTGAGGAGGCAGCAGACGTTGGTTTGCAAAGCAAGCCCAACATCCTCTTTGACCCCAAACCTCCTTCAGATCCTAGACCCAGGCTGGAAGCCCTAAACTTCATGTGGCCTCTGACCCATCCAAAGCCCCCATTCTAGCCCACCCCCCTCAGTTAGGAAATACAGAACCTCCACTGCCCAGGGTCCCAGCCGGCCGCAGGCCCAGAGGGAAAGCTGCAGCCCTTCAGGAATGGGGCCGCCGGGCTGCCCTCTTTATAAGAGGAAGTGAGGGAAGCCGGCTGGGCCCCCCACCAGGAAGCACAGATGACCCCCACGGCCCAGCTCTTCTCTCTCCTGCCAGCTGCGGCCTTTGAGGCTCTGCTCCTGGCACAAAGACAGGAGCTACTAGCTGAATGTGACAGCTGGAGGGATGAGAGGGGAGGGCGCTCCATCCACGCCAGGCAGCCACCCCTGCTTACAAATGAGTTAGGTCCCCATAGCCACTCCTCCTGCACCCTTACCTTGCATTTCCACTTTGAAGTCTGCAATGCTGGAAGGTCATGTTAACCCGTCTCCTGCCTCTAGGCAGGCTGGCCTTTAAGTAAGTAAAATCATCAGGATTCCCTCTGGTCCCCAGAATCCCCAGGGAAGAGTAAAGCTACTTAGGACTTAGCGGGGGGAAAGTTAAACAGAAGGCCCGAGAGGAGAAAGGGACCCAGAGGCTCGCCTCTCAGACATGGCCTTGCCTTTGTAGAATTCATTCACCGAATGTTCTTGGACTCTGGCCACATGCCAGGCAGGCTGGGTGCTTGGGGATACATCAGGGAGCCAAACCAAGCCCCTGTCCCTGTGGAGCTTGCATTTTAGCACAGAAGGACAGACGGCAACTAACACACAAAATACATTTGAAAAGTTATATAGTCATTTTGAAGGTGGTACGGAGAAAAGCAAAGCAGGTAAGGGGTTCACAAGTGCTGGGGGGCAGGGGTTCATCAGCTGTCATTTTCAGAAAGGTAGTTAGGGAAGGCCTCTGTGAGAAGGTGATCGTCTCCGTAAGAGGTGACAGTGGCTGGGATCAGGTCGGTAGGGATGGAGATGGTGAGAAGCGGTCAGCTTCTAGATTTACCTTGAATTCAAATTCACAGACTAGTCTGGGACACTAGTCACTCTCGTGAAACAGGTAAACTCTACTGTACTGTGATTCGTGGCGTCCAAAAAAATTCAATCCAGTTGAGTAAAATGTAGGAGGGATTTACTTCTCCTTGGGTGTCTGTTGCTACAGAAAGGACAAAAGTAAATATAGTGGAGCTGACATTGTACACAACTATAACAGGCTGAATTGAGTCAGCCCCACATTACCAGGAGGCTGCCACTTCCTCAACCCCTCTCCCCGTTCCCGCAGAACGGAACTTTAGCCATTTGAAAACTGGCAGACAGACCAGAGCCAATCATGGTAGATCCTAATTTGCATTTATTGCAGGGTGTTCTATTACAGGCTTTACTCTAATATGTCAGTATGTGATTAATGGCATGGAATAAGCTATTGTTTATAGCAAATGAGAGCTGCAGATCATGGGTAAATCAAAATTCTCAAGAGGGAAGTGTGAGCTGGAGAAGAGAAGGCTGCACAAAGAAGGGACTGAAGCACTGAAATGAGCAGAAGGGGATGAGGAAGGGCATTCCTGGCAGGGGGAACAGCATGAGCAAAGGTTCACAGTGAAGAATCAACTGGGACAGCAAGGACAGTGAGTTGGCCAAATCCAAGATCAAGTTGTGTGATGGAAGCTTTGAAGACCAGCCTGGTGTGGATGAACAGGCAAGGGAGAAGTCACTGCTAGTTTTGGAGCAAGGGAGTGGTAGTGTCTACACAGTGAAAATTAACCTGGTGACTGTGGATGGAGGGACTAAAAGGGGACAGAGACCAAATGAAGGTGGGAGATTCAGGAATCTACTGTAACAGTAAAATCTATTAAATAGGAAACATCAACAAGGTTTGATGGCAGATTTGGACCCAAGAGGTAAAGAAGGAAGCACCAGAGATAAATGAGATTCTAAGCTGGAAGAGCAGACAAATGGTGGTGGGAGTTGTGTTGAAGGGAAGAGGGTTTGGAGGGAAGATGGTGAACCAGGATTGAGAGAGATGGGCTTTAAGGTGGTAGAGAGAATTCCAAATGAGGATGTGCTAGATAAAAAAGAGTTTTCAAAGTGGGTACCCAAACACTCGTCCTGTGAATGGTCCTTGCATCAGGAGGGGTAGGGTTCATGCTCCAGTAGGTTAGGAAACACTGCAGCCTACATGCTCCTCATACAGTTCACAGTGTGCCCGAGAAGATGAGGGGCTCTGAGGCTTTGTCTCCACCAATGTTTCCCAAAGAGTTTGACCCCGGTGTTTTTGCTGACCCTCTGAGCCAATGGCTTAGGGTCCCATGGCCACAGCTTGGGAACTGCTATCCACGAAGGCTTTGGAGATAAAGCCCCAGAGTTGGGTGAGAGCTAGCTACCCAAGATGGGTTGGAGAGCCAGCAGGATGAAGGTAACTCAGGACACTGCTATCAGGTCTATCCCTAGGAAAGAAAGCAGAGGGTAAGGGCTGAAGGCCCAAGAACAGAGCCCACAGCCAGGCGGCTGGAGCAGAGAGAAGGCCCAGCAATGCTGTCTGCAGACAGAACACTCAGAAGGGACAAGGATCAAGGACTTGTATTAGACGGCAAAGGGAGCATGTCAGAAAGGGAGGGCAGGCCCCTCCACCTGACGCCTTCCTTATTCTGTTGGCCTCTCCAAGTCTTAGTCATCCTTCAACTTGGCCCGTCTTCTCTCCTCCAAGAGGCCTTTTCAAAAACCAGGCCACAGTGCTCTCCTTCCCTGCACGCCCGAAGCACTGCCAGCACCCTGATGTCCACGTGCTGCTTTGTCTCTAAGAGTGTCGTTTGGTTCCTCAGCTGGGCAGCTAGTTCTTCGTATCCTGTGACTAGCAAAGTCAATGCTCGGTACATGTTGCTGAGTGGGTGGGCGGGTGGACAGAGCGATGATTAGGCAGGTGGCGAGAGGAGAGAGCACGCAGGTTGGGGTGAGAACTGATGAGGGAGCCGGCAGGTTGAAAGTACAGAGGCAGCTAGGTTCCTGCCAGCTGCCCCTTGGGCATTTCTTGTGGTGGCAGCTCCCATCTCACAGGGAGCAGGTGCGCAGCCCTTTTCAAGGCAGTAAACAGATGGGACCTGGTAAACCAGGAGAAGCAGCCTGAGGTTCAGGGAGGCTGTTCTGGAAGTGGGCGGTGAGGACAAATATTCAATAAATATTTATTGGACAGTCACTTCGTGACCTGCACTGAGGACACGGTGGTGACAAGTGGGAAGCTGAGTCTTCAGTGGTTGTGCTTCTCTGCCAACTCCCGCCTGTGGGGAAGCCAGGAATGGGAGCATCTGGGTGGTCCCCACTCAGCCATTCGACGTGGGCAAATCGCATCCCCTCCTTGGCCCCAGTGTTTTCATTAGCTCTTCGAGCCTGAACTCCTGGAAGGCCCTTCCGTTTCTCGTCTAGAATCCTTGCCCTGCTCCCGCCTGCTGCAGACAGCACCCTACATGCTCACACACATAAGACTGGCTCCACCCCCCGGGGGAAGGACTGGTCTCCTAGGAGGAACAGGATTCCCACGGAGTGAGTGATGCTGAATCAGGGAGTAAGCTGGCAGAAACCGATTCCCAGAGGCCTGACCGTATGCCCAAATCCACCCTCTCCTCTGGCCTGAAGAGAGGAGGGGTGCAAGCTGCCGAGGTCAGCCCTCCAGGCCTGCCCTGGACCTGCCCACCAGTTCCTTCGGTCCAAGGCCAGAGGTGGTCTCCAGTGCCACCCTGTGGTGGTGCTGGGAACCGCCTCCCTCAGCCTCACCTGGGGACCCTTTTAAAAGGCCTCTGGCCTGGCCCCACTGGCCAAGTCACTGACCCAGCCTTCTCTCTCCACCCACCCACTTCCTTTTTCTTTTCACCGTTTTTGCCTTTTTGTTTTTCCTCTGTCCTCAGCGTGGACGTGTGTGTACCCACACGCTCATCACATCAGCACAGGTGTGCGGGCTCGTTGTGCCCACGCGCGTGCCCTCTTGTGTATACTTGTCATCTGTGCTGCTCACATGCTCTCACTCCCCCTTTCTGCGCGGCCATGCTGAGCATCCTATGATCACAGCCCAGGATGGCTGCACACCCTGGCTCCCCCCTTACCCTGCAGGGCCAGAACGCAGCCAAGAACCTGGGTTTCTGGCACTCAGGATGTATCTACAGGGCGAGCACCTGGGAGCCTGTTCCCTTCCCTGTACTCTGGGAGCAGATGACATCAGGCGTAGGGCACCCAGTCTACTCTAGGCTCTGAATCTCGGAAGCCACGGTGTGGTGCCGGGGCACAGTGACCAGCAGGTGTTGGACCAGACGGTGGTGAGATCTGCATGGGCTTTCTGTGCAAGAGAACCAATGATGCCTGATTGGCTGGTGGCCTCAGGCAAGTTATTTAACCTCTCTAAGCCCCATGTCTTCGTGTACTGGATGAAAATTAATAGCATACCTGTTTCACGGGGGGTCGTGGCAGTGACTGGCATCTAGTGGACACTGGGTCATGGGTGGGCTAGCACCCCATCCAAGGAGAAGTCAGCAGGGAGGTTCTAGGGCTATGGGACTGTCTCTGCCTCTCTCTTCCCTTGCTCTAGCAACCAACGCTGCAGCACGTTGGAGGGATGGGGTGCTCACGGGGCCTCTGGAACTAGAATCTTCCTTGGGCCTTGGGCCCACTTCCTGGCTTTTCCTCCCCTGCCTCCCTCCCTCCCTCCTTACCTCCCGACTCCCCAGGAGCAGACACTGACTCTGTCCCCCTCCATCTCTTTTCCTCACCCAGAGTTCCCCTACACCCCTTCTCCTCCCGAACATGGGCGGCGCGCAGGGCCAGTGCCCACGGCCATCATTGGGGGTGTGGTGGGGAGCATCCTGCTGGTGCTGATTGTGGTCGGCGGGATAGTGGTGGCCCTACGCCGGCGCCGCCACACCTTCAAGGGTGACTACAGCACCAAGAAGCACGTGTACGGCAACGGCTACAGCAAGGCGGGCATCCCCCAGCACCACCCGCCCATGGCCCAGAACCTGCAGTACCCCGAGGACTCAGACGACGAGAAGAAAGCCGGCCCACTGGGCGGAAGCAGCTATGAGGAGGAAGAGGAGGAGGAGGGCGGTGGTGGGGGCGAGCGCAAGGTGGGCGGCCCTCACCCCAAATACGACGAGGATGCCAAGCGGCCCTACTTCACCGTGGATGAGGCAGAGGCCCGTCAGGACGGCTATGGGGACCGGACTCTGGGCTACCAGTACGACCCCGAGCAGCTGGACTTGGCCGAGAACATGGTCTCTCAGAACGACGGGTCTTTCATTTCCAAGAAGGAGTGGTACGTGTAGCCCCCTTTCCAGAGCCTCTGCGCCCCCTGGGTCCCAGCCCCGACCCGCACGCCCCCTGCCCACCCCCCACCTCCCATTCCTCCAGGAGCTCAGCAGAGACTCATTCAGCTGCCCAAAGCTGGCCCCACGCCCCCAGGGAACCGGGAGCCCAGGGCCTGGACCTGGCTTTGTTTTGACTTCCTCCCTGGCCCCCACCCTCCCCCATGGAGTTGTGTTCACTGTGGCTTCAGTGTTGCTGTACCTTTCCCTCCTGACCCCACCTGCTGCCCTCTGCAGGGAGCCCTGTTCTCGTCTTGTGTACCTGGGCGTCCCTCCAGGGTTTGGGGAGCCAGCCCTCCCCCCAACACTGGAATTTGTTTGTGTCCTCTCCCTTGCGGGTGGAGGGCTGAAGGGGCTCCAAGAGGAAGAGCCCCCACCCCTCAGCCACCCGACCCTGGATGCTGCTCCTCCTTCCCTGGGAGAGGGAACCTGGCACCCACCCCCCACCCTGCCACGAGCTGGCGCAGCAGGAGCTCGGCCTCCCATCTAGACAGCCATTGCACCCAAGGAGTGGGGGTGGCTTTCCAGAGCACCCAGGGTTGTCCTTGTTTGTTAAGTGAATCAAGTTGAGGCCCCCACCTACGGCCTTGGACAGTGTGTTCCCTGGCAAGGTGGGTTTTACATTTTTTTTCCTCATTGGCCTCCAGAGAGTTAAGTCGGCCCAGATCTGGTGTGTTCTCCTCTTTACCCCAGTCCGCTCCCCACAGAGCGGGGCTCCAGGTAGACTCTGGCCCACACGTCCATACACCCCTACCAACACTACACACACCCACATGTACACACACGCCACTCGTGTCTACTCCTGTGCTCCCCTGGGGTCACATGCCTTACCCAGGCTGGACACTGCCCAAGGCCCGCCTTTCTGCTCTGCCTCTTCCCCCTTCCTTCCAGCTGAGGACGGGGGCAGCCTTCAGAAGCTGCCAAGGGTAGCAGCAACTAGGCCCTTTGGTGCCTCCACCCTTGGATCTCGGGCTGACCCCTCACTGCTTCTTACAGCATGGAAGTTCCTCAGATTTCTCCCTTATCTATCAAGTGCTAGCAACTAACTCTTGATTCTCTCGGGGAGTCAGAGCTGGGATCCCAGGAGGGGATTACCTCCAGGAGTTACAGGTGAAGGAGGATTGATGTGGAGGGCAACAGAGAAAAAAGCTCACACAATAGAAGCTCTTCAGACACTGTCTGATAAGACCCTGGAGAGTGTAGGCAGCTCCTCACCCACAAAGGTCAACGTAGATGTTCCGGGCCTGGCAGAAAGTTCAAGGGGAGTGGGGTAGCCAGGGATCCTGAGTCTGAAGCTCCTGCTTGCCACCCTCCCGTCTTGCTCAGCTGTCCCTGGTCTCCATTCTGGATGAGGGGGGACCTTGGAGAAGCTTTCCCTTTGAGTTGTAGTTTCCCTCCTTAGTTGGGGCTCTGGGTTCCTGCCAATCACCCAAGATTGATGGTCTTCCCATCTATACCATGGAGGAAGACCCCTCTCAGCCCTCTCTCAGCTCCCCCAGCTCAAAGTGCCTCAGTTCCTCCATCTGCCCACCCGTCCCCCCAGCACTCTAGATGGGAAGGACTCTAGGATGGGAGAGGCAGGTTCATGCCTGCCCATCAGGATTCTAGGTAGCTCAGCCCAGGGTGCAGGGGCTCTGTGGGATGGCAAGTGTCGGGGGAGGGAGGCAGACCACTCTGTGCCCCACGGGCACCAATCTACCCTGCCATAGGCTTCCCAAGGGAGCCCCCAGCCCCCGCCCTACTCCTCCCCTCCCTGGTGCTGCTATTGGACCCCCAGCCAGCTCTCTCTCTGCCCTGGCAACCCTGGGCCCACCAAATGGGCCACCCTTCTCACCTGGCCCCCACTGCCCTAGCCCCAGCCCAGGCCGCCCAGTAGCCACGTAGCAGAAGTCTGAAGCCATGCCAGCCCTGGGGCGGCTCTCCCCTCTTGGCTTTGGGGGTACTGGATGGGGTAGAGTTGGGAGAAAATTCTGGGGTCTAACCACAAGGCAGAGGTTGGTGGAGGAGCTGGGCTGCATGTCCCAGCAGCATGTGTCCCCCCAGGGCAGAGGACCTTTTCCATGTTACATCACTGCCCCATCCCACCTCACACCACTCTGTCCCCTCCGCTTGGTCCCCTTGTCCCCAGGCAGGAGGAAATCCCAGGGGCATGCCTGACAGAGGCACTGTGTCCCCTTGAAATCACAAGATTGAAAAGACTCCTCTTGTGTCTTTTTTATCCTGCACTGCCATCTCCTCTTCCTCATTATATGATGGACTTAGGAGGCCCCCGGGCCTAGCCAAAGCACTGAGTCCCCCTTAAGACACCTCCTAGCCCTCCCCTCCTGCAAAGCACAAATTGTGGGGTCCGGGCCACATGCATGGGCCACGTGGGAGGCTCCTGCCTTGTCAGGGGCCCAGCAGGCAGCTGCTACCCAGGGCCAAGAGTGGTTATGAGGCCAGGGTTGACCCTGGGAAGACAGGGTTTTCTGTGCCCCAAGTTTGTGGGGAGATAGGCCCAGACACAGCCAGCTGGTACAGGGGAGGTCTGGCCCCATCAAGAGACAAGGATGTCTTGCTTCTCTGTGCCCCCAGCGTGAGCTGAGCTTCTGCCTTTGCTGGACGTGAAATAAACTTGGTCTTCATTGTGCCAAGACCTCCCCAGTTGTCATTCTGCCTCGTGTTACCCTCCCTATCCTTGCCCGCCCCCCACTCCACCGATACCCCTATTTCCTTAAGATTTTGATATTGTTCTAATGTGTGACAGACCCTCTGAGTCCTCTTTGATCAGAAGGATCTGAAGAGCAGCAGCACAGAATGGGGGACCACAGGCACACGCGTGCAGCCACCTGGGGCCCGCACACGCGTACCTAGGGGCACACACCCCTCTGACAGACCTAAGCACAGGTGCCTGGGCACCAGCACAGGTGTGTGCTCACAGCCCCACAGACAGGCCAGGGGGATGGGCTGGTCCTGCTGAAAGCCCTTCAGCAAAACAGTGATTTCAGTGCTTGGGCCCTAAGAGAGACTCACAGGGGCCATTTCCCAGGCCTCTGCCCCCTCTGCCAAACCCCTCCCACGTGCCCAAGTCACTGATGCAATAATTTTTCCACCATCCTCCAAGAAGAGGAATCGGGGATTGTGTTAGGTGACGTGGGCAGCTCACCTGGGAGGAGGGGAGGGTTGCCAGGCCCCCGGGGAGCCAGACAGAGACCTCCGAGGCCTGACTGCCACCCAGAACCCTCTCCTAGTGAGAAGTAGGTGGGTTCCTCCAGGCTCCGCACCCGCGGGGACACCTGCTCCAGCCCCTGTGCCATGGCCCAGGCGGTGAGGGCATCTTGGGGCCTCACTGCTGCTGCCTGTTTTTAAGGCCAGAGGAGCCCCCACCCCACTGGTGCTGCTGCTCTTCTGACTCCTGCTGTGAGGAATGGGATTCGAGGCCGGAAAAAAAAATGGCTTTCTTTTTTTGTATAAATGGAAACAAAATCCAGGAGAAGCTGCCCCCTTCCCCGCCCCCTAGTCCCCAAGTGTGATGCACCACCTTTGCTTCAGGTTCTGAGTCACCGTTTTCGTCTTTGGTCCCGGGGACGGTCCAGCAGATTCTCCTGGTTCTAACCCAGGGGGTGTTTGCATCACCCCCTTTTACTTGTATAAAAAAAAATGATGGGTTGAAAATGTATTGAGGAAAAAAAATGTACTTTTTTATAAATAAAGTCTTTAAAACAAGTTGCCTCGAGTCACTCCTTTCATCTCCCTTAGGGACCGGGCCCTTCCCCACGGCCTTGGGGGCGGGACAGCGTACAGCCGGGGTGAGGCCAGCACCCTGGTGAAAGGAAGGCAGTCCCCACCCCTTGCCCGGGTCCCATGGTTCTGGGACAATGACTCGGACCCCAAAGGAGCCCCCCTTGCACAGGCCAAAGGAACCCAATCCACGCCCCAAGGGAGAACGGAGGAGTCCTGCCGGGGTCCTCACCACAGTGCACGGGCTGCTGCTGAACCGCCCTCCACACGAGTGGGAAGACCGTGGATCAGGAGGGCTTGGCCGCGGGGGCACAGGCAGAGAGGCCTTTGATGTGAGGCCTGAGAGTCTGGGGGCCGAGGGTGCGGAGGGAGGGCCCCGTGCTGGCTGGTGTTCCCTGCCCTCCTACCCTCCTGCCCCAGGGCTGCAGAGCTCCCATTCAGGCCCCTCCAGTTCCCCTCACTCCCTGCTGTCCTGCTCCTCCTGCCAAGTTCCCCCTGTGGCTGTTTGGAGAAGAAAACTAGCAGTGTCACACCTGTCATGTTAGACAGATCCCTGGGGACAGGGGAGAGACAGGAACTTTATCCTTTCATCATTTTTTTTTTTTTGGAGGATACTGCTGGCCCCATCCCCCCGCAAGCTCTCTCAGAGACCCCACCCCCCTCCCTCCAGGGGGCTGGTTGGAGGGAGGGTCTCCTAGTTCCTTGGTCACCTCCCCTCCTCCCCACTCCAGCACCATCTGCTTCCCATCTCCTGGGCTGGAATGCAGGACAAATCGATCCTGGGGTGGGAGTGGCAGGGGCTTCGGTGACTGCCCCCTCCCAGCCACCCCCAGCAGCATCTCCTTTCACTGAAATCCACACCAAACACCCCTGAGAAAAGGGGATGGGGATATGGGAAGCCAAGGTGGCTGCCTAGCAGAAAGCCCTCCCGCCCATCTGGGGCAAGACCACACCCTTCACACCTAGGACTGGGGCGGAATCGGCCTGCGCAGGAGAAGTCAGCAGCTGTTGGCAGCTAGCTGGACCCCTCATTGGGAAGCCAAATCCAGCACCCCAGACTGTGCTTAGATGTTGATACTCGAATGAGATGCAAATTGGTTGTTTAAGCGGTCACTTCCTCAGTTTTCCAGGCTGTCCGTTTAAGTTAATTTTTAATTTGTGCAGGCAATAAATGCTTAATTACATTATTAATATATTGGAAGAGAGCAGTGGACAGAATGTCCTAATTGGCATTTAACTAGAGCGTTCCGGCAAATTAGCCAAGACTTTCTCCGGCAGCGGAAGGAGGGCAAGCCAATTAGTCCCAGGCACAGCCTCTCCAGGCTGGAGAAGCCAGACCCGGCCCCATCCCCCAGGACACCAGGAGGCCAGGACACACCTAGCTTTCCAGTTGAGCTAAGCTTTGGAAGAACTTTCTGCTACTTCTGTTAGGCTAGTTCTGCCCAAACCTCAGCCCTTGCCCCCATCCCCCCACCCCTACGCTCAGCAGAGCAGAGGACCAGACACTGGATGGCTTGGAGACAGGATCCACCTGAGTGGCTGAGGTCCCCCACGGGTGTGCCCACCTTTGCCCTGCCTCGACTGTGGGCCCAGAACTGAGATAGCTGGGGGGCAAAGCTCCTCTCTGTATACCATGGAGACCTCTCTCCCAGCCTCCTTACCTTACCTCCTGCAGATAGTTAAGAAAACGAACTCAATGAATTGAGGGATTCATTTATCTACAGATACATTCATTTGGCCATCCTGGGCCAGGCACTGTGAGACACTGTGATAGTCCCACCCAGAGTACCCGCTCTCAAAGAATTCAGAACCTCCAGGGTCCCAAACCCCAAAACAATGCCATGCTAGCCGTGAACTGAAGCAGAGCTATATATAAAGTGTTATGGTAGCACAGAACGGGAATGGCTAATTTTGTCTGGGAAGGTCTGAAAGGCTTGATAGATCATGTGACATTTCACCTGGGCTTTGAAGGGTGCGTAGGAGTTCTCCAGAATAGAGCCATGTTAAGAGTATTCCAAGCCACCTTTGAATTTAGCATCTTATATTAATGTTCGAAAAGAGACCATTCTAGTCCAACATGCTCATTCAGCACATAGAGAACTGAAACCTAGAAAGGAAACTAAGGTTGGGCAACCAGATCATCAGAAAGCATGTGTTAATCATGGTCAAGGACAAAGCCATGTTCTGAGAGCAGTAGGAGCAGGAAGAAACCAGGGGAGGGGGTGGCACCAGCCTGATTCCTGAGGGGATACCAGACCTGACCCAAGTCTCACTTTCTCTCCCAGCATAGTGTGAATGCCCATAGGGTATCAACTGGACTTCCGGGAGCCATATTTGGTGTTGAGTTGAGCCATCAGAGTCAGTCAGAGCCCATGGGGAAGACTTCCTGGACAAGGTGGGATGGTACCAATTCTGGCATGGTTTCTTCCCACACCACCAAGCAATAAAATCAATTCTAACAGTATCTACCTGGAGATAGCATCAGATCTCACAAGTTAAGGGCTCAGTCTCACAACACTGCCCCCACTCTGAGTGCCAATCACAAGTCCAGGTTGTGACCTGTGCTTTGACCAACTGGGTATAAATCAGAGGTTCCCATGTCCCCCAGCCCGGGTTCGATTATTGCTAGCTAAATCAGCTCACAGAACTTAGAAAACCAGTTTACTCACTAGATTACTGGTTTACTGTAAAAGAATCCAACTCAATAACAGCCAGATGGAAGAGATGCATAGGGCAAGGTGTTTCAGAAGGGGTGTGGGGTCTCCATGCCCTCTCCAGGAGGACCCCTCTCCCAGTCCCTGCATGTGTTCACCAACCTGGAAGCCCTCCAAACACATCCTTTCAGACTTTAATGTGTATTAAATCATCGAATCACGCAGTTACTGCCGCCTCAGTCCCAGTTTCCCATCTCATCATCACTGATTATCGCCATCCTCATTACCTCTGAGACAGGATCCTGGAAGACAGTGTCTGCAAGGGAGGCCAGAGCCTAGAGGCAAGTAGGGAGCAGGATGGAGCCATGCTTCTGATGCTAACAAAGCCAGTTTTCTGGTTTCAGACCATTCCTGGGCACTTGGTCTCTGGGTGCCTGTTGGAGGAGAAAGTAGGATTCTGAGTTAAAAGCCAGGCAGCCAGTCCCACAGGCCCTCTCCAAATGGGAATCTTGCTCCATAGTGTTATCCACCTTGGAAGAAGCAAACGAGGTTTACAAAGGACAACAGACCCCTTAGAGCCCTGTTAGGCAGGTGACGGAGGGCCCTCGGAGAGAGGCAGAAGGGGAAGGTGGCCCACCGGCGCCCCGTAAGCCCTTTCCTCTCTGCCCGAGGACTGGGCGGGAGGGCCCCTCGAGAGCCTCGTCTGAGAAAGGTATTCTATTCCACAGGGAGCCAAGATTTTTGGGGATGGCTGACTCAGAGACTGGCAGGCTGGGATACCCTCAGCCTGAACCCCTCACACCCACTCTCCCTTCAGCTGGTGGTCAGCTCCTTTCCATGGGGTCCAACAAGCCTGGGACCCTCAGCCCCACAAGAGCCTCCACGGGTGAAAAGAGAGGCAGCAAGTGATAGAACCACACAAGCTGCCTTCCCACGAGGCTGTAAGCCCCTTGAGGGCTGGGATCCTGTCTTCTTCATCTCCAGCACCTGCCCCAGGGCAGGAAGAGCGGGTGCTCAGTAAAGGTTGAACAGAATTGAACTCATCCAAGTGAGAGTCAAGAGACTTGCAGGTTGGTGGTCCAACCTCCCGGAGACAAGGCTTTCCTCCAAAATTCCCAGGTGCCTCTGGAGACGGGCAGCTCACTACCTCCGGAACTGAGCCCTACCATCAGAGGGCAACTTCTCTTTTCAGACGAAATGTCCCTCCCTTAAGTTCCTCCCACTGGTCTAGGTATTTCCCTGAGAAGCTACACGGTCTGGGTTTCCTAGGACAGTCCTTCACGTATTCGGAGATGGTTATTCCTGGCCAAACCTCTTTTTCATATACTTCTCCCTCTGCTCTAGCCATCAGGCCACTTAGCAACACATCTGTTAGTAACCTGGACTTAGGAGTCGGGCACACCTGGGTTCAAGTCTTGGCTGAGTTGACCAGCAGCCACAGAAAAGCATTAGCACAATGCCCAACACAGGAAAAGCTCTCAAAACCACATCAAAAATCCCAGCTACCTTTTGACTTTGGGTGGTCATAATGTATCTATACAGGTAACAATAGTAACAAATGTACAACTCTGGTGTGGGATTTTGGTAGTGGCAGCTGTGCATATATAGAGGCGCAGGGGGTATGAGAAATCTCTGTATCTTGCACTCAGTTTTGCTGTGAACCTAAAATTGCTCTAAAAAAAAAAATAGCCCTTACATTTAAAAAAAAAATCCCAGTTACTCCAGCTGTTGCTGAAAAAAATACATTACCAGCTCCCTCTCATTCTGAGGAAATAAATACTGTTTCCTGGAACTGATCTGACCAGCAGGGGATGAGGGATTATCCATGCGTCCTCCCTGAGCCTGGCCTACCCTCTCTTACGCTGTGGGCACAGCCAGCACAGCTGACCTCATGGTGGTGGCGTGGAGCCAGATGGGCTCAACCCTGGTGGTTAAATTCCTGGGCGGGTGGTGGATGGATGGATGGATGAGTAAACCTTTGAGTCTTTTTCACATGTGCTGCCTCTAGGCAGGTCTCTCTCACCCTGTGCTTGGACTATTTTTGCCCTAAATGTGGTGACTTTAGTGCATCTCTGCTATGTTTTATCTTAATGACAGAGTCAGCATTTCAGCCTGTTGTGGTCCTTTTACAGGCTGGTTCTATCATCAGTTTAGTTCACACCAGACATTTATGGAAAACCTGGTAAAAGGAAAGAGGCAGGGCCTTAGGGTCCAATGATGCTGATTCAATCCCTGGTTCTACCACTTATCACCTGTGTGGACCTTAGGCGAGTTGCTTGCCTTCCCTGAACTTTACTTCTCAATCCATGTGAACAGACTGCTGGGATCAAC